CACCGCGGCGCTGGAGCTCTGTGAGGAGGTGCACCTGTTCGGCTTCTGGGCCTTCCCCATGAACCCCTCAGGCTTCCACATCACGCACCACTACTACGACAACGTCAAGCCCAAGCCCGGCTTCCATGCCATGCCCTCTGAGATCTTCGCCTTCCTTCACTTGCATAGCCGCGGCATCCTCCAAGTACACACAGGCACCTGCAATTATGGCTGACAGGTCCATCACAGGAGTCTCAGTTCCCATCTGTCTCCCTTCAGGGTTCCCTGGCCCTGCCATTGTTGCCCCCTAAGGTTTTAGGGTTTGTGTTTGGGTCCTGGGGAGGAAGACATGGACAGAACCCATGCAAAGTCAGCTCTATCCTGATTTTTCCATCCTGTGCCTCCATTTAGCTGCTGGGCCGCTCTCCAAGGTCGGGACCTCATAAGCACATTTCCACTCAGTTTCAACTTCCCAGAGAACACAAACTATAGTGGCCCGCTTGCAGCTCAGTCAGGCCCTGCTGGTAATAGACTAGCGGGTGATACATTCACTTAACAGGAGAGAGCACAGCCCAGGTCTCATTCGGACATTTGGCTGCCCAAGTTTCATACCAAGGACTCAGCCATGAATCACCATCTAGAATCTCAGGGTTCAGAGGTTAGCCCTTCTAGGGAACAAACAGTGGTGAAATGTCCTGGTCTACCTGGCTGAACCCAAAAGGCTTCAGGGATATCTAACCAAGGCCCTTGTTAGCATCACCCCAAGACTCCAGTAGCTGAGAGCCATGCCCCCTTGAAACAGTCCTTGGACACACACAGCCTTGGTGCCTCTAGGTTCCAGCATTTAACCTTTGACAAGAAGGAAACAAACCAGACCAGCCATTTGCACAAAGATCTCCAAGCCAATGTTATCGACTCAGTAAGTGCTTAGCAATTTGCCTCCTGTTCTGTCTCCCTATTTTCAGCTCCATTTTAATCAAGAGTTATTTATAAAGATCTGTTCCTCTTTATGTTCCTGACTACTGAAGAATCTTGTTAAACTGTTCCCAAATAGGAAATCGTCAGATGGAAAGCTCCTTGTCACCTGAGCCTAGTGGATGGCAGCTAGCTGGGGCTTTGACATCAACCTCCTTGCTGTTTCTGTTGTGAAGGTGGCACACACAGGGCACATGAATAGTGTGTTCAGACACAGGGATCCACCAGGCCTGGGGTTAGGGAACCCAGCTGTGCCTAGGCCGGGAGTTCACGTATCATCTGCATCTGAAATTCCTTCTAGTAGCTTCCTCCTATCTATTTCCACCCTAAGTGTGATGGTGCCCATGGTCACTGTTGGTGGATCGCCTTGTGGAATTGTGGATTGTGTGGGGAAGGCTTTAGCCTGAATGCTCTCCTTCTGTCTTTTCCTCTCTTCATCCTCTTCCTCTCCCATCCTTCCTTTTTTCCCTCATTTCTAGAAAGCCTGTTCTGATCTGGTCTGTGTTTAGGTTGACAGAGGTGTCATCTCTGTGTTCTGCAGAGAAGCAGACAGACCACACCTACACTTCAGCCCAGCATGCCACTCAGAGGAGCAGCTGTGAGAAATCAGGTCCAGGCCATCCACATGACCTCACTTTGAAGGTACCAGGACAGACCCGACTCAGGAGCCAGCTGGCCCAAGGCTTCTGGCCCACTTGAGCTTCCTCTCTGATGATTTTCTGAGCCTGCTTCCTCTGGGCTCTGGCCTGCAGGTGCCCGGAACTCATTCCACACCCAGCTGTCTGGATACTGTCTTTCTGTGTTCCAACTGACTGTGGAGCCCCTGGGATGCCCCAAACCTTAGTCTGCAGGGAGGTAAGGTCATGGAGCAGCTGCAGAAGCACACAGGCCCACACACGTTGGTAAACCAGGAGCCACCACACAGGTGGTGCATGCTTATGTCTTTCTTTCTGGACTCTGGCTATTTCTGCCAAGGAGGGAGTTATGAGAATGATACAAATTAACTGAATTCACACCTAACCAAATCCAGTTCTCAAAATCATGGAATGTCAGAACTGGAAGATTTCATGAAGACAGATTTGTCCCACTTCAGGAGACAGACTAAAGAAGTGACTTCAGTGGTCAGAATGTCTGCCAGGGACACAGCCCTCTACCTGGGAAATAGGTGTACTGCAGGTGGGCAACAGCCTGGCCAGACACCAGGGTCTTCCTAGCTGAGGGTGCTTAGAACCTGCCCTAGGGGGTGGGCATTAGGACATCCTTCTGGCTTATGGTGGTACTTCTGCCTGAGAATTTCAAGGCAGATTCCTTCTGTCCCTCAGGGTGTCAGTTTCCTTATCTCTTCAATTAAAGGCTTAGAAAGAATTCATAGGGTCTCTACAGTGACAGCTGAGGGGACATCCACGATGTGTGGATCTAACCCATAAATAGTATTTATTATTAAAACTACTGTATCATTGTACTCCCCCTGTGGTAGCCCTACACTGACCACTTTTCCCATTCACCACATTATCCTGTCATCACTGCAAGACCCCTTCAGGTAAAGAGGCTATTGGGGTACAGGCGAAGCCTGAGACCCAGGGCAGGGCAGGGCTCTACCGGACTCTCCAGACTGCACTCCAAACCTGGTGCAGAGGAGGTAGCCTCCGCTTGCCAGAGCTTCTCTCCAGCCCTGACCTCTATACCAGTCATGATGCCTGGTGCATTGTTGCCCTTGAGGAGAACTAAGAGCATCTCTACATTTTGGAGCAAGGAAAGATGCCTGAAAAGGGTCCATGTTAAGTGACAGCATGAATGGCTTGCCCCAGGGCCCATGACAAGCAAGAGGCTCACGTCTGACTTTCAGACCACTTGCTTTCTGCTGTAGTCAGTATGTGTAATATTTATTAAAGGCCCAGAGAGACCTGGATATTGATTCTGGGACCTCTCTGGCCCATCCCATCACTTAATACAGACTATCAGTTAAATTCTAATTTAGGGACATCCATTCCCCTGTGAACCAAGCGCTATTGTGTCTTCCTTTGTGCTAAATGCATCTCCAGTGTTGAAAGGTGGCAGCAGCAGCAGCAGCAGCAGCAAGTAGGTGACTCAGTGCTTAGGCAGGCAGAAAGGGAGGAGGTTCAAGGTCAGGCTGGCTTCTGGAATCTTCTGAAGCTGCTGCTACCGCATCTCTGCCCACACTCGGAAATGCATGGAACAACCCTAGATATCCCAAATCTGGGAAGTAAGTAGAGGCTATAGAACTTCCTATCGACTTCAGTCTTGTATTACTGTGTACTCCTTGTGCCAGGGGAGATGTGAGGGTTGAAGATGCCATTCTGGTACTTACCAGAAGTGGGGGCACCAATGCTAAAAGAAGCCCATCTCAAACACTCACAGGAGCTCGATGTGTGGATGTTCCCAGTTATCAGGGAGAGGAGGAGGGGAACGAGAAGGAAAGGCAGAAAGGGCAAATCTGAGTCCTGAAGGTTAGCAGCATACATTGCCAAAGAAGGCGTCTTCTTTGGGTCTCATCCTTGACAGCCATGTAACATTTGACAAGGTTGGCTCCAGGTCCCCATCTTCTTTCCTACCCTGTTTCTTTAGGACATAGCCCAGCCTCTCAGTGTCTCTCTGCAGGTTCTCTATCACCTCTGCGACACTTCCTTGGGGCTTTCTAAACAGCAGCACTTCTGCTGAGACCACATCTCCTGAGAGCCACCAGTCCTTGCTGTCCTCACCTGCAGGCTAGCCCTCCTGTCTGCCTCCACACAGCATCTCAGACCTCAGCCTGTCTGTGTCCTCCACTGATGTATGTAGTTTGTTTGTTTGGTTTTTTTGTTTGTTTGTTTTTTCGAGACAGGGTTTCTCTGTGGCTTTGGAAGCTGTCCTGGAACTAGCTCGAACTCACAGAGATCTGCCTGTCTCTGCCTCCCGAGTGCTGGGATTAAAGGTGTGCGCCACCAACGCCCGGCTTCCACTGATGTATGTAGAAGAGTCTGGATTCAAAGTGTCTTCCACCATTTAGTAGACTTCTGACCTTGGGGAGTCCCTGAAGCCCCTGAAAATCAAGCTTTGATTCATCATCTAAAACAGACAAGAACCTCAGGTCTCTGATGTTTCTAGGATTGCCTAACATGCTTGGCACAGTACCAGCAGGACGCTGGGCAAACTCAGGCTGTCTCTGCCCAGGCATCTTCCTTCTTCACACTCTGTTTATTGGTTCCCAATTCCAGCATAAATATCCCTTAAGTTCATTCACTCCTTGTATTTGCCTCTGCCTCAGCCATAACTCGGGCTCTTTTGAGAGATCCTCATATATTCTGAGAATTAGCATCCCCAAATACCTTTTGTGAGGTCCATTGCTGCTGGTACCACAAGCCCAAGTTTTTTGTTGTTTTGTTTTAGTTGTTTTCTTAGTCAAGCCATACAGGCCATGTCACAAGCCGGCTCTCTCTTCTTCTAGAGACCTCCCGGCCTCCTTTCTTATGTTACTCCTGTGCTTGTGTGCAAAAGGCTCAGATGCCTGGAATGGCCCCACCCCTCTGCCCTCCCCCCTTCTTATCTGCTCACTTTTGCAAATGATGCCAGATTATGACTCCTACTACATCTCAATAGAGTGGGTCACACACTCTCTCTGTGCTTCTGTGGCAACCATCATTGACTTCCATTAGAATATCCTCAGAGCACACAGCTAAGTGTTCCCAGACCCTCCGTGGATGGTTTGTCTTTGTCTTTTCTCTGGGAAAGGATTGGAACTAAGCTCATCTTTGTGCCCCTGCACCAACACAAAGCCACACAGTAGTGTTAAGAACACCCATGACTGGTGCCTGTAATCCTGGGACCCGTAATTGCAGCACTAAGGAATCAGAGCAGGATGACCAGAGATTGAATCTAGTTTGGGCTACAAAGCATGTTCAAGACCAGACTGGGATGTAGAAACCCTGTCTTAAATTTTAAAAATGAACTTAAAACAAAACTCAAGTATTTGCACTGTGCCACTAACCTCTAGGCTTCTCATTTTACAAAATGAAAACTCGAAACCTGTGACAAAATAACGTACCCCACATCTCACCCATCACGATCTGCACTTTTCTCTCTCTCTGAATTTGGCTGTTCTAAGGCCCTCACATAAATGGAACCATCTGATATTTGTCTGATGATTTGGGCTCCTTTGCTGGCAGCAAGTGCAAACTTGAACTTGCTTTGCCAGTGAGCTTGCGCCTTCCTGCCTGACCCACGAGCTTAGCGACTGGTTTGTTAGTCTGTTTCTATTTTCTC